GTGCCGAGGTGCCTCCACAGTAGATTGTGCCGTTAATGACATTTCGTCGGCGGGAGCAACATGAGAAACAGGCTGTCACTCACTTCCAAGGACCCGTCGTACATGGAACAATACTTAGTCAACAGAAGAGACCGGAACGACATCCATCAAATTTTGAAAGCCGGGCGAAATAGCTTGGACTGTAAGTGTACAATCCGAACAACGTCCGAAATGAGGAAATGCCAGTACTTGACTCAAACCAGCAATAATGATTTTGCCTGTATGGTCCCAAACTGAGAAGTGCACTTGTTGATGTTGCATGGTTGCATGCCTGGGTTTTCACAATGCGAGTCAATATACCAAAATTGTTTTGTTGTCCCAAATCGTGGCGGGTCACAGCGCATGTTCGATTTGTGCAGCTGTTGCCAGCCTTGACTTTGATTGCGTTTAGTTGCCATTGCATACCGCCGCTACTATTCAGCAAGCGTTTCGTTAGTTCAAGCCGCAAGATTGTTATTCGGTCGTTCGTTTGCAGGAAAGCATCGTGGTTTTTACACACTGTGCAACAATTGTTGTTCTCTCACCTGACACATGGATGCTCAACCCACAGCCACCTTACTTACCGCACGTTACATGTCCGTAAAGCCGGAGCTATTAAAGCAAATCCGGGATGCTGTAGTTCGAAACTCAGTTTTGCCAGACGTTGTGTTTGCTTTGGTTGGAGGGCATATGCTGTTTGCTGTGTTCATTCCTGAAGAGGAGCATGACGCCGATCGGGATAACATTCCATTGCAGATCGGAGCTGAGGAGGGTCGTGCCTTGTGCAGTGTTTGCTGCCCCCATTGACCAGCTCTTTATGCCAGGATCTCGGCGATGGAGGGTCCATGACAGCAGCCTCGGTGTCAAGGACGCAGCTAATTTGTGGTTGACCAATGATTCGCTCCCAGTAGGGCAGACTTCTTGGGAATTCTTTGACTTTCTGGTCTTTACGCCGCAATGATTAAGAGCTGCTGCTGGACCAACCCGACATTCGCAAATTGCACCATGCTGGAACAATGTTGTGAATGCCAGGAAGAAAGTTTGCCGCAATGTTGAGATCGGTCACCGCGATGCAAACAAAAAGTGGCACGAAGCGGAGGCGCTTGAAGTGGTTGTTTCAGTGATTGCCCTTTTTGCGTGCCCGGCTTCCTCAGATTTGCTGAGGCTTAGATGCATGTTGGAAGCATGTTATTTGTTTGAGTCAGCAGAGCCGTTTCAGACGTGTCTATCTGTGAGGCCGCTTTGTCGACTGCCCTGCGATCCAAGCAGGAAACGGAGGCCAGCTGCTTGGAGAGTCCGGTCATGTCTTGGAGAAATCAACATGCAGGCAGAGGACGCTGAGATGACTGCGTATGTGCAAAATGTGGAGAAGGGCATTGGCATAGATGCTTCTGCACTTCTGTCCCCCACTGCCAGCATGTCTTGCTTGGCCGCTTAGCATAGAGAAATGGCAGCTGAGAAGACTCTTCAATCAAGTGTCCGGTTCTTTGAGCAAGCGGAACACCAAATTGTATAGAAGGCTGTGGATAGTGCGGATGGGTGGTTTCCAATCATGTTCATGCAGAAGATTGCAGAAGCTGAGGATTCGCAGGAGCGATCTGGCCACATCCCAGTGAAGGGGTCAGCGGCATTCTTGGAACGAGCCCGGCTCATGCGATTCCGGGCCAGTGAAGCTGGCAAGAAATTGAAAGATCACGCGAAGCGACGATTGCAAGAGCCTAAGCATCAACATCAGCAAGGCAGGAATGTGTCCTGTAAGAGTATTAAGGCGAATCAAAATCACCGACATCTTCAAAGAGGTGAAGAGGAGACAATCCTTAAGGCCCATGCCCTCAACAACGTTTAGGGCTGGGCACGAGTGAGCTCTGTCTTGCAAGGTACCATCAGGACAAAGTCCGGAAGTTTCGTGAGAAGTTACACGAACTGGGCCGTGGTCCAAACGCCTCGACTGGTGATGCCGACGATTTCTCTCTTGGACTTGGCGTTATCTCCGATAGCTTTGAAGATGATGCAACCCCACGGCGCAGATGCATCCTGGAATCCCTCTCACTGGAGGTCGACATGTCAAAATTTGTCAAGTTCGGTGGTTCCGGTTGGTTTGAGTGAGATTAGCTGAGTCGTGCATTGTAATGAGAGTGTCCTGGGTGCAGGAGCTGGAGATGTTGCGAGCCGACCCGCGATGGTACATTGAGGCTTCTCTTCAGCCGGATGGTCAGGACCGAAGTGCTCCTCCTGCTCATCCCCAGTAGCTGTTTTTGCAAAGTTGGAACAAGGATGAGAATTTCCACGGCAACAGGGAGAGGCTCATCGACTTCTTTACGCCTGCCCGAAAGGTCAGAGAGGGTGTTCATGTTTATGGCTACATGTACAACTGCCCCTGTTAGGATCGTCACGTGTCCATCGAATGCTATTCCCAGCGCCTCTGGGCTCGACTTGCAGCTGCTTCTGAAGCCATGCAGGAGCCCGGGTAAAGCAATAGTCAGACACGCGGCATCATGCTGCCGAAGTTTTGAAGAGGACAGCCAGGACAGTGCGCAGACGGATGTGCGCATCCGGTCGCTGTTTGGTCGTGGTTCAGGCGGAGAAACCATTTTGATCATCGTGGAGCTGGGTCTTCCGAGTTGCGATGTTGGTTTTTTGACGCAGCATCTGTGTCAGAGGCATGGGTTCGCGAGTTGCATCACAAGGCTGGCGGTCTCTGCAGCTGCCCACCCTTTTGAGTGTTGAGGATATTTCCTTGAGGTATGGAGCATCGACAAATTGAGCCACTGCAGGACTGAGCACGCAACCGAGCGCGATGCAGTCCATTTCTGACAGGGGACCCGATTCGCAGATGCTTGCAAAACACTTAACTTGATCTTGCGTGCTTAGAGCGCTGGCAGCAATTTCTTGTACTGTGGTGCTGTGAGATGTACCAAGGATGTTTTCATCACTTTCAGCTGGCTCCCTGCCCAGACGAGAACCCATCAGAGCTGACCAAGTTTCTCCAACCATGGAGAAGGTCTGGGACAAGTATCGTCGAAAGGAAGTAGCTGTGATATCCACCATTTGCATGTCTGTCATTTGAGCACACTTTTTCGTCAAAGCTGAGAGAAGCACCGTTTGCAAATATGTTGTACCAGCCTAGGCACGGGACGCCCAGATGCTTGAAGATCGGCGGCTTGCAGCTGAAGAGCGCATGGCCAGAAATGCTTTCAAGGCATCGGCATGAGCGTGTGTGAAGTCATACCAGCCGCAAACATTGTTGTGCTTCGCAAGGGGTGGAAGCCTGCACAAATGGTCATCCAGCACTCATAAAAGCAGCGGATGTGTGTCGAGGTGAGCCAACAGCTCCGGGAATACGAATCATCACAGTCCAAGTACAAGGAGCCAATGAAATGTGCCTTGAACTTCACGTGGATTTCAGATGCGCTGTTCCTGCAGCCACGAAGTCTATCTAACGTGCAGGAGCTGCACAAGCTTCGCATGTCTGATGCATTGGAGCGCAAGGCTGCGAGGGATGCAGAGGTTCAGGACATATGGCTCTCCTGTTTTGCATAAGTGGATTACTTTGTCTATGTTGCATCGCCTTAGCATGTAATACAAGTCCCGATCTCTCAAGGAGAGGTTGGCAGTCATGGACGAGTTCAAGCTGCGCAAGATCAGGCCGGAAGAAGTACGAACTGCACTGAATGCATGATTGCTTTTAAAGAAACCCTTCCAACAAGGCACGCTCTGGACGTGGCGGATGAGCAGCTGGAGCGCAAGAGGGACAAAGTCTCTGAAGGGTTGGAGGCAACGTGCTTTTGACATCACGCTTCGCTACCAGACGGCTGGCACTGCTTGGCATGACTGGCACAAACTGGGCCAAAGACCATGTTTAGCCGCAAATGCGCAGCAAGTGAAACTTGCAGGTTTGGCAGACAGCGGTTCGGCGCGCGCGGCGCCACCAGCACATGCAGGCTCTTGGCTCTTGACAGAGTGATCGGACTGCGCGCCCCAAAGCTTCTTTTGCAGGAGCGCAAGGCCCTGGCACAGCTGCAAGCAAGTCAGGAAGCCTATGCTGCCAGGCTTGCCAAGGCAGGGATGTGAAGTGCTCATTTGGCCATGTCAGGTGCAAAGGTTTCCAGTAACACATGCAATACATGGAGGCTTTAACGCATGACGCTGATCCAGCTAGAAGAGTGAGCTTGCAAGTCGGCTAGTTTTGTGGAAGAGTTCTGTAGACGCTGTCAGCAGGTTGGTGAGACCCGGGGCGAGAAGACGGAGTCCCAAGCTCAGAAGAATGATAAGCTCAAAGCAAGGACATCGGGATCGGAACCTGGAGCTGTGCAGCTGTTTTCTGCCAGGATGATATGGGAGTTAAGCTGCAACTGCAAGTTTTCAATATGTTTGGAACCAGGCGCGTGCCCTTCAGGATCATGTTCAGAGTTCCAGACCCTTAGGATGATGATCTGGCATTCCTGGTCCAGAACTCTTTTTCCATACCCAGATTACACCCAAAATTGTGGGCTTTGTGCCATACCCCTTCTGGATACGCGAAGCTCTGTTCATGCCATACTCATACGCGTTCCAGACACAAAGGCACCGCAAAGTTCATATTGTAGCAAAGAGCCCCGCAGGCCCAACCCCAGTCACGGAAAATAGCAGCTTGGCATTCTCTTTGTTCTCAAGAGTCGAGTGCAGGATCCAAGTTTCGCTGATGCAGCAGCTGGAAGAGCAGAGAAAGTTGGACTGTGACCGAATTTTGATTGCTGCTGCCTGAGGTTGCAGAGGCTTTCGTGTTTTTGTTGTTTGGAGTAGATGCTGGGATACCTTCGTGAGGCTTCGGAGCAGAAGGTGGAAGCAGCCAGATACCGGCGATATCACCATGCAAGTGGGGGCCATGGTTGCTGTTCCAGATGCAGCGGAATGTTCTTGTCTCCCTTGTGCTCTCGGCGGTCTGCTTGGTGCCATGCACTTTGTAGCTGGATCATAGCTGGCACATACAGAGCTTGATCTGAGCCTTGCTTCAGACAAATACAACTTCCTCGAGCGCGCGTTCGGGGAGCAGGCCCTGAGAACATGTTGACTTGCAAGCTCCGGTCGCAATAGAGATTGCGCACGGCCACTGTCATGTGGAAGGCTTGTGGCTCCATGTTGCCATGGACTCTAGCAGGTGAAGTTTGACCACAAGTACTCGTACACACCTTCTCGGAAGGTGGGCTCTGCTTAACTCTGCTTGCCTTTGACCGAACACTGAGCAGGGCCGGCAGCAGATGTCGCAGAGTACTGATGGCCTTTGAGTTGGACAAGTACGGCTCGTGTGAGCACGGCGTGCTTCATTTTTTGGATCAGTGCAAGTTGTTTTCAATGTCTCACCTTGTTAATACATTCTCACCCATGCCAAGTTGGCTCGAACCCCACCTCCGGAAGTGATTCGGTTGGCGGACGTTCTTCCGATAGTGTCCCTCATTGCAGCAGCTCGCAGTAGCAGGTTGCATCAGCCTGATGGTCCCTGTCAGCCAAGCTGACTTGGATAGTGCCTGACTATGCTGAAAACGAACGCAGGCTTTCAGATGTTGGAAAGCAAATGCGCCAGCATGCTCGCTCCATGACCAGCTGCTGACTTTCAGACGCTCCTTTCCTGTATGGCTTCTGCACAGAATGTCCAGAAGACAATAGGTGGAGGCAACAATGTACTGATTCAAGAGGACAAGATGGTGCAGATCCCACGAAGAAAGTCAAACAGGGCAGAGAACCTAAAAAGTTTCTCCGGAAACAAAGTCAAGCACAAACCTGTAGCTGTGCTTGTGTTTCGGTTTCACTCTGCGTGCATGAATGCCAGCGGAGTGGCTGAGCGGGCATTTGCAGGACAGGAGACATGTCGGCTGCGACCTGAGCCATCTGTCTGCGCTGTGCAATGTGTCATGCTCCGCGAAGTTGAGCAGAGTCCACAAAAAAGATGCACGTAGCGCGTCGTTGCTGCTGCATCAACTCTTTTCGTAAGTGGCGGGATTTTGCCGGAAGTTTGTTTCCAGACTGTGATTTATCAGTGGACATGCACAACTCCATAGAAGCGAAGAATCCTAGAGGCCTTAGAACCATCACGCCAGCTTGAAATCAACAGCAAAACGGAAGACTGGATCTGACCAGCTGACAACTCCAAACGCTTAATCCTCAGACCAATGCAGTCCAGATTCTGCTTCAGCATGGTCTTTTTCAATGCTTGTTGTCCTCCTTGTCGGCTTGTAAAGACTCCCAGCTAAGCTTTTGTGAGGCCAAGGGATCCAAACACGTCTGCACATGGGAAGCTGTCAAAACGGATGGGCGAGAGAAGGAAGAGAGAAGGGGAGAGAGAGCAAAGAACCGAATGGGAACTCTCAAAAGAAGAGACACCATCTCAACAAAAGAAAGGAGGGTAGCTACTGTACCACAGCAAAGTTAAACAACAGTGAGCCGCAGGCAGCAGAGACGCACCAGGCGTGGCAGATTGCACCGGAGCGAAGCAATAAGGAAAAGATGCGATAAGGAAATAGGTGGAACACGAAAAACCAGGACGAAATTCAACTCAAAGAGAATGGAACCTGAACTCAGAGACAGCAAGGAGAAGCAGGACTCAGTGTATGGATCTTGCAAACCATGTTTTTCCAAGCCGCACTTGACCAAAGGAAGATCACAAGGACCCACAGAATCCTAGAAAGTCCTGGTGTCAAATGCGCGGAAGATCGCTATTGGAAGTTACGACAGTGCCCTTGCCTGCTCAGTGTCTTGTTGCAGAAACAAGGCCGAGATGATTCGAACTACACTGGCTCCCTTGAAGGACAAAATGAGCTGCTCCAGTTCTTGAAGGCTAGTTGAGGGACTGCTCGTTCCCGGCCGCTGATTGGTGGGTGTTGACCCACTTTAAGGCCATTCGACCAGAATGGTCCTTCCCGAAGAAGAACGGCAAGAGCAATGTTAGAAGCACCGTGGCAGCATGGGCACACGGCACAGGCATTGCACACTTTGGACAACAGAAATAGCAAGTAGCTTTGCAAGTGGCTGTTTGAAACGACACGCCTTTGCAGTCAGTTTGGGAATTCTGTAGTGACGCTGCAGGTGTCATGGACAAATTAAAAGCAGTTGGCACAGACCTCAGTCTGATTAGCAAGTGTCCAGCGGCCAAGTAGAAAAAGGCTCATGCACAATCATGTGCTGGACATTGTACTAGTTGCAGTAAGGTGTCACAAGCGTGTGGGGTCTTTTCCGCGCCGTCATGCGGAACACCATCAACGAAGATCTGGCCCAAGCCGGGTCGCTTGGCGAATCTTTTGCTGTGGTTGGTCTATCCTGAAAGGCCCATGGGGAGATCAGGTTCTCGAATGATACTCATGATTCATGATGTTAGCTATGGGACGCTGGTGCAGTCAGTTCTTGATCCTGCGTGCTTCTTTGGCGTAGACTACGAGCGATGTGAGATTTCTTTGTTCCGTCGTTCGGTCACGGTTTCCATCAGGTACTCCGTGTTGAGCAAGGAGACTCTGGATCGAATCCGGAAGAGGATGAGCTTCTTTCGGCAGCTCCTTCGCGGCACAACCAAGTGACTCCCCACATTCCCCACATTTTGGGACTTTGTGCCAAGGCTGGATGTGCTGACTGAAACCGACTGCCGACAGACGGGAGCCTTCGCACCAGCAGCCCGGCCATTGCTCTAATGCTCAAGGGACTAGGCATAGGCATACATATGCTGAATAGCCAGGTTCTGCGCCTTGGGTATGGTAGTCGGCGGGGCAACTGGGGCAAGTTGTGAGAAGGCGCTCTACAGATGCTGCATGCTTGCACATGCGAGTCCATAAGAGGTACCCCAGCTGCTGTCACAGAAGAAGCTGGCCTACTGGAGTGAGGGGCTGAGCTCCGCTGAGCTTGTGCCAACGAACTCGATGCAGCTGCGAGCTTCGGAAGTCTCCTCGCTGGGAGGCAAAGTGGCTCCACAGGTTCATGACGGCAACAAGACGGATGACAGGCCGGACTTTTGGGCACAGTGAGCTGTATGTCAGTGTTTTTGGCCTGCTTTTCCTGTTCGATGCAGGTCATCGTCTCCAGAGACTCTTGGCTGCGAGAAGATCCAGAATTCACAAAAGCTTCTTCACCGTCAAACACTCCCACCAGCAGCATCTGACAGCTGGAAGCAGCATGAAAGGTTTTCTTTGGAAACATAATCAGTGACACAGTGGAACCTCATTTACCGCTGGGGCCTTGATAGCTTGAAGTGCCAAGGGGCAGAGCACGCTCCTCTCAGAGGCGAAGCATGGCTGCAGACCGCGGTGCCAAGTGACAACAAGGCATACTCAGCAAATACGAAAGGTGCATTCATGAAGCTGAGGATCCAGAGCTGTCACCGACAATACCAATTCGATCGGTCCAACCAGCATTCCTCTGTCGAGCTTCACAGCGTGACCCCTAGTGCTTTGCAACAGCCAGCTACGTGACTAGTGATTGTCTCGGATTGTTTTTCACAGTGCCAGGGCTCCTTATCGGCACCGACGTTGGACTCAACACATGAGTCCAGCCAGGCACCTGCCCTGAGGTCTGCGGGCACTAAACCTTATCATGACGTCTTGTCAGATATGGGCAGTGGAAGACTTGGAGATGGAAAGGCCGAAGCTCAGAGGTGTCAGGCTGCAGCCTTGGCCTTTCTTTTTTAATCATCAAGAGGCTCCGCTTGGCCTTGGCCCCTTTGAACTCTCAGGAAGCCTCTGCACGCGGGTCGATCTGCGGCAAAAAGTCGCGAGGGATTGGAGATGTTCAGGCCTTCCCATAGATCATTTGCGTGTCCAGACAGACCGACGTTGACATCTATGCTAATCGCTGCTGATCGCTGATGTTTTCTTCAGGCCGTCCGACAGCGAGGCCGAGATGCAGGCGAGGCATCTCCTACCTTCTGGTACAAAAATTGATATCCAGTGATGCAGTCCCACCCATAGGAGCCTGAAAGATGGGCTCTGAAATCTTCTCTTCGTCCAGCCGCAAAAACATGGCAGGCGCGTTGGGGACATGCTGGCCGCATAAGGTCTGTTTCTTTTTCCCGCCGCCGACATGGCAGAAGCTGGAATCTTCTTGATCGTGGGTCTGCATGAATCCCTGCGCCTGTGTGTTGCTTCTTTCCTTCCGCTCACACAGACTTTGTCCTTTTGGTCAAGTATGAGCCATGCAAGCTCGGTGCTCTCTCCGAACTGCAACGTGTTGAGGCAAGTGTTTACATGATTCACATGCTTTGAGGTCCGCGCGCATCGTCAACACATGTCAACGCTGTTTCAAAGCGAGCACGCGCACGCATCAGCCAGGGAAAAGATACATCTTACAACGATGTGAACGTGTTCTTAAAGGAGGGTTCTCGATTGCAACAAACACGGACGGTGACCAGGCTGAAACTTCAAGCTTCAGGCCTTCAGGCTATGAATTTTAGACGGGAAGAAGTTCTGCGTAACGACAGCTGTAGTTGTTTTGGTGCTTTTTTGAGAAAAGCTGCTGGTTGTCGTTGATGAATTCACGTGCTTCGCCATGTAATTAACAGCCATGCTCAGGGATTAGCGGCCGGTTCTGCTGTTGCTCCAGCTAGCTGTGGGCTTTTACATCAGTTCAAGCATGTCTTCTCTGCCTAGCGCAAACTGTCAAGAGGCATGGAAGTCATGTGTGAATCCTGGTGCTCCCATGAGCTCTCACTGCAAATGCAGAGCTGGCTCGTTCCAAGACTTGCAGCGCTTTCGCGCAAAAGTATATTAGGTCCCAAGAAATTACGTCTCAGGCAAAAACGTACGAAACCTGCTTGCCTTATTGCAGCATTTTGCAGTTCGGCGAGGCTGGCGACCCCAGGGGCGACCCTAGGTTTCCGACATCTTCAGACATTGAAAAGTGCCTCCCTTACAGGATCCAAAGATGTACACATGAGCTCACATGTACATGTGACCTGCATGAAAAGGTGTGCACTCATTTGCACGACATGTGAGTTCATGTGAAGTTTCGTGTGAAGGTTGCTTGTTTTCTTTAGGCCGCCCAAGATTGGCCTGCTTCGGCAAGCAAGCCAGATGTCCTGTCCAGGCCTTTGCCTTACAGTCGTGTTAGCTCTACTGCATAGCATGGTGCTTCTGTCAGGGGAAGATCAGTCGACTGCATCACTCCTGATGCAAGCTCCTCCTGATATGACTGGGCCTTGTGCTGCATTCTGCTGCATTCCTTTTTTGAAGCAGTTTTGGCCAGCGGCGGCAACTATTGAATTGCGTTTGTATGTATGGATCTAGAAGCAGATAAAGCGTATCAGTTGTCTGGGAGGAGCCGTTTGCGACTGGGTAGTGGCCACGATCCTACCTTTTTGACCAAGATGCAACGCAATCTATGCATCCAACGCTCAGCCGTTGCAAGCCGTGAGAGCAGTCCACACGTGCATGTTTGAGATGAGAGGAGTGCAACGACAGATTCAATAAACAGAACTGGCCGTAACTGCCGAAATCCGGATGCAGTGCCTCGTGTCCTCGTGTGTGTGAGGGCAAAGCAGCAGCGTGATGATTGTTACCACTCCTGTCAACAGTTCCGGACTCAGAACCTTCAAGGACCTGTTCGTCAAACGGTGTGGGATTGTGATGCTTGGATGCTCTCAGGGACAAACAGTGTTTCCATGGTCCGTGGCTCAATCAATTGCAGTCCATACTAGAGTGTATACAAGCCCTGCTCTTCGTTGTAAGGGCTCCTCGCTAGCCGTTTGCCCCCGAGCCACATGGATCGCTTCCCTCTGACATACCCATTCTCAGACGAGTACCGCCCACCATCTTGCCTTGGCTTCATGAGCTCTTTGCTGCGCTGGCTTATGTCAATCGTATGCTTTGCTTCTCTGAAGGAAGGACAAGTTCTAGAAACTTGAACGGGAGAACAGAGGGATTGAATGCTGGGAGGATTTTCAGATTCCCATGCTGAAGCTTCCCACTCGGGCTTGTGGGCTACATGATGGTCGCATTAGATGATTCTTTTGTTTGAAGCTTTCGGTAGAGACATTGTGCTTTCATGGTTGAGGTTTAGAGTGCGAGGCTTACAGTTTGGGGCCTTGGGTCGCGTTCAAGGTCCAGCCTGTAGGGCTTGAATGTGTTTGAGTTTGAGGGTTTGGGCTGTTGAAGTTCTGGAGTGCAGGTTGTGAACCTATGGAACGGAAACACACACACACAAAGAGTGCCTATTAACATACGGCAACAACGTCATCTTTTCCGAAGGAAGGAGTAGAAGCCGGCTCCTGTGCAAGCCAAGTAAGGAAGCAGACATGGCTGATTCATTTGGCAGAGGCGTTTCTGTAGTTGTTGTTGTGCTGCTCCCAGGATCGATCCAGCAGCTGCCAGCATTCTCAGGCAAGTCACGAGCAAGACCTCATCACTTTAATGGTCGCTTGAACATCAGGATGCTGACACTTTGTTGTCAGCTGTGGAGCGGCTTCATCAGGCCCCGAAAGGCGTGGTAGTCACCAGTCTCAGAAACCTTCAGCTTCTTGCAGGAGGCGGCAGCCATGCAGGATTTCCGTCCGCCGAGTTGGTCGGTGCTGCGCCGTCATCCTGAATCCCTAATCGAAAATGGCCAGGCAGGGATCAGTCTGATGCCTGAGGAAGAAGCCCTAGGGGTCCAGGGGTATTAAGCCACAGGCCATGCTCGACGAGCAAGAAGCCCTCCATGAGAGGCTCGCTGGATGTTTTAGGGTTGAGTTGTGCCGCTGTTCTTTTTTTTTTTTTTTTTT